ACCTCTGCAAACCACGTAGCCAAAGAATACATTCGTACATACACATCTACAGAAAAATTGTTCCAAATTAAATTTACTATCAAAATATTACTTTTTAAAGTCAAAAATATTTTTTTTATAAAAATATATTAAAAAAACACAAAAGAAAGCAATTTTGTTTTTTGTCGCAAACTTTTTTCACGGGAATGTAGGTAGATACATACATATAGGCATTGCTTCACAAAAAAAAGTCCATCCATCCTCTTTAAAATGACGTCTGGTAGAAGACCTTAGGATTTATAGTTTCCGCAATATAATTTTTCAAAGTTCGCCACTCACAGCATTTTTGGTCCATTTTTCTTATTATTTCGCAAACATTGTTCGACTCATTTTAAGCAAGATATGGTATTTCAAAGTTGTATACTTTTATCGATTTTTGATATTTTTTACTAGATATTATATTTTTTAGATTTCTCATAACTTTTTTTCTGGTACCTTTAGGTACATATATATCATATATATATATATATATATATATATATATATATATATATATATATATATATATATATATATATATATATATATATATATATATATATATATATTGTTATGATTTTTTGTTTTGTATATGAGCAATGAGTGTTTAAAATAAAATACACTTCATGTAATTTATATAACGATGCACGTCATCGGCGTCATAGCCTGTGACGTTACATGATACCAACACAAAATATTTAGGGTGTAGGTGTATTCTTTTTTAGAATCACTTTACCGAGTACACTGGCATTACAGCCACTAGACATATTTTATTATATACGCGTAGAAATAATATTTAAAAATTTCTATTAATGTTAACTTAAAGAAATACACAATAATATGTTTCATTTAATTTGTATAAATGCATTATAAAGCGTTTTTATCAAGAACATTTGTTCGGAACACACTGTAACTGTAATCGAACAAAGCTAAAATTTTGGCATAAATTGGTAACACTTATTTGACAGTTGCGGTGTTGACACTTTTTGTACTTCATTATTTTGAATTTTAAAGTGAATATCTCTTGTTTTATATTTTTAACTATTTAATAAAATCTGTTCTTTTTAGAACAAAATTAGTGTGTTTTATTTCAAAAATGTCACGTAAGAATTTAAATAGTCGTTGTGAAGAGATGGTAATACTTTTGCAATAATTATGTAATCTATTTGATTTAAAATGGAATCAGGATTTTTTTATACTTTGGCAACTATGTCAACTTCGATCTCTGACGTAGATAATGACGTAAGTCGTTATCTAAATTAGATGAAGTATATATGAGTATAGGGTTTTTATCGCGGTTCTCAAAGAATTAGTTTGTAAGTACTTTTTTAAATTATCTTTATTATAACTATTATGAAACATATATATATATATATATATATATATATATATATATATATATATATATATATATATATATATATATATATATATAAACAATATAAATTTAAAACAACCGATCTAAAATTTTAAATTCTTACAATTATTAAATTATATTAACAAAATTTGGTACCTTTCTTTCACTGAAAGCCTAAAGTTTTCCAAAATCAAATTTATAATCACCACTAAATATCTTCTTAATCAGCCTCGGTTATCCTTGTATTTGGGAAATTGCATATAGACATTTTAATTTAAAATTCTTGAAATTTCCATATAATATACCAACTCCAACTGTATCTGACTTAATGAATTGTTCCAAGATAATCCTTTCTTATTTAATTTAATTATAACTGTCTTGAACTAACTTTCTTGATAAATCTAATTTAATGACTTAATTGTACCTGACTGACTGACTTAATGTAACTTAATTCTTAAATTCTTCTAACTAATTCACTTAATAATTGACTGTAACTTAATGACTTCCTATAACTTAATGATCTTCTAACTTTACTAACTTCACGAATCAACTGAAATTTACTTAATCATCCCCCCTTGCTTTAAATTACATGGTTTATATATCTTTTCCGGGTTCCAGAATTATCGGGAAAGAAATCATGTTCTAAACTTTTCATCTCATCCATAGATGAAAGTTCTGGAATCCTCTACTATGCAAATAGTCATATTGACGTTTTCCAGAAAATTCCTTGCTTTCTATAGATAATTTAACGGACATTTAGGCTCTTCAGATCGGAATACACTATTATATGTATATACACTAAACATCTTAAATGAATATATTATCACTATTTAAGATCCGTAATAATATTTAAATTAAAATTCCAAATAATAAATAACACAATTTTTCATCTGTCACTTATTTAGTTCAAAATAGGCATCGTCATGTCATAAAGAGTGTATATTTGGTTGCCTATACACAAGGCTGACTTAAATATATTTATTTATAGAATAAAATAAAATAAAGAATTTTTAAAAACTTAATCCTATGCTAAATTTTCAAAAATACCCTCATATAATTATTTTTTAATAATATTTGCTAGTATATGACTTATAAATTATTTCTTTAACCACTATTTAAGTAAGTTTATTAATTAAATATCATAATATTACTATGCTAATTTCTTGTATATCTAATTATTATTCCAATATATATATATATATATATATATATATATATATTATATATATATATATATATATATATATTGCTGAATAAAAAATTTTGATTCAGGTATATACCCAAAGGTACCAGAAAAAAAGTTTAATGCGAATTTTAAATACTTTCATGGCTGCGTAATATTAGACAATGGTGTGGTTCCACAGTAGAATTATTTCGCGCAGCAGCCGACAGAGAAAGGTTTCAGGAAATTGTAAACATGATGACGGCCAACGTCTGAATATGGATACGGCACTCAAAGAAGAAGAATCGTAAAAATATCTTCTTCTTCATGTGCCTTGTCCGTTCCGAACGTTGGCAATCAACATGGCTATTCTGACTTTGTTTGAATAGTTCTAATCTGAATAGTTCAGCAGATGACAATCCGAACCATTGCCGCAAGTTTTGGAGCCACGAGTGTCTTGTCCTCCCTGGACCCCTTCTGCTGTCTATTTTCCCTTGAACGATCAGCTGTAGTACTCTATATTTATTATGTCTCACAACGTGACCCAAGTATTCCAACTTTCTTTTCTTTATAGTTATTAATACCTCTCTCTCTTTACCTATCCCCCGTAGTACCTCTTCGTTGGTCACGTGCTCAGTCCAGGATATACGTAATATACGTCAGTAAGCCCACATTTCGAAGACCTCTACTTTTTTCATCAATGTTGCGGTCATTGTCCACGCGTCCATTCCATATAACAAAACCGGGAATACATAACATTTCAGAAGCCGAATTTTGAGAGGCAGGGTGAGGCTTTTAGAGGTGAAAAAATATCAAGAATCGTTAAATGTATAAACTTTGAAAAACCATAAATTGCTTAAAAATAGTCGTACAACCTCGTACAGTAGAATACAACCGTAACGGTAGTTGACTTCTCTTCCTATAAAATGTACCATTCTCTCTTCTAAAGTTACAGAACAATGTTTGCCAAATAAGGGAAATGGCCCAAAAATGCTCTGAGTGGCGATCTTTAAAAAATCATATTTCTAAAACTATAAATCATAAAGATTTCGACCAAACGTCATTTTAAAGAGAAAGGATGAAAGTTTTTTTATGTGAATCAATACCTTTACTTATATCCCTGTGAAAAAAGTTATAAGGCAAAAAACAAAATTCTTTCTTTCGTGTTTTTTTTTGCTTGTGGTCCATTGACCATATGAAACAATAAATCCCCTAGATCGTTGCAGTTCTTTTCTAAAGTATATAATCAATAGCCTAAGATATTAAAATAGATTTTATTAAATGCGTTAGAAATCATTATTTTACAAGAAAGCGATTTTGCTAAAAACAAAAAAGTATACATAAAATAAATACTTACCACTCGATAGGTATTTAAAAGGAACTGCACTTTTTATTAGTTTTTTAGATTTCACTGTTGCATCATAAAACGATGTAGATTGAAAATGATTTTCACAAATATGATATATTTTTAAGTCTTCAGTTAAATAGGTTCGCACTTCTTCATTTCCACAGTTCTCCATCCACTTTTTACACCTATCTTGATTTTTAACAGGAAATTTAAATAACACTACACCATCTTTTCTCGAGAGATTAAAATTTTTATACAACGTGTCGTTGTAATTTTAGAAGAATTCATTTTTCACCAAAAAAAAAATAAATCGACTAGGACACAAATAAATTACAAAACAAATTTCAAAATGCACAGTTTCAATGTATGAATGTATTTAGGAATTAAAGTTGGGAAGCAATATTTACGTTGAGAATTAAGGGGAGGTAATATGAAGAGAAGAAATCTTTTATGTTTAACCGTAGTGTAATTTTCTCTCTCGAACATAGATGGCGACACGGTTTTTGAGAACAGAATAGTTGCTACGTTTAATTTGTGTACGGCTGCAGATCTATTTGGGTTATTCAATCAACGATTCTAGGCATTTGTCAAGATTACTGGTGAAAGCAGACCAGTTAGCTTTCTTGAAGTTCCATCTGGGGCGTGGGAACGATCTTATAATCGGAATGCTGATACCGATCTTGATTAGGACGGGGCGATTATCTATGTTCCACTATGTGGAAAGTCAGGCATAACCCTTCGTGATGCTGCTAGCGGTTGGCCTTTGTTGTCAATGGTAACAAAACAGAGATCAGGGTTATATTCTCTCCTCCAGGCCGCAGATCTAAAAGTGCCTCTATTTTTGGCGTCGAATAGAAGGTGGGCACCATGTTCCTCTGCCCATTCCACAAGGGATGTGTCATTTCTGTCAAAGTCTGAGTATTTCCACATCTCATGGTGACTCTCTCATAGTCTCTCACTATCAATTCGTGTAACATGCTGGTTCCATTCCCGTTTGTTCTCTCTTCCCATCGTACAATATCCTTTATCGTACAGAGAGATCTTACTGAGTTATTTGGTATTCTGTCACTTAATATTATTGTATGGAAAATAAATAAGTAAAGCGCGAATATTGACAAAATTTATTTACAAATAATTTCGTAACTTAGTGTATAAATGTACTATTACTACTACATGTTGGCACTTTATTCTTATCAGCTTGGCAACATAATCAAATGTAAACAAAAATTAAGACTACGCTCTGTTATTTTTAGCTATGTTATGAGTAGCCCAATTCACAGAAGTCTTCCAAGAATTTGAAAGAGCTTCATCAAACTTTGACCTAAAATGGCGTAAGGCTTCGTCGTCAGACATCTTCATCACCTGAAAGGCAAAATGGTATTAATAGTAACATTCAAATAATATAAAACCATGCAATATCATATATTAAAACTGTTTTAACAGTTCGAATGCTGCTTGAAACTGACTGTTAAAATCCTAATCTAAAAGATAAACCATGTTAACTCCACAAGGAATCAGAGTTCCTGTAGTTGGCTGTATACCACCATATCAAAAAATTTTTATTAAAAATCCTTTATAAAAGGTATATAATTTAAAAAAAGCCCAATCGGGCTATATCACAAAACGTTTTCGAAATCCATATTTCATCATCAGTGCCTAGGTATACATGTATGTAACCACTACATATGTGGATAAAAACTCGTTAAAAATTGTTTGTTTAAATTTAGTTTACATTATATGATATTAATTCTTATGATGTTAAAGTTACCGGTAGATTTGGTAATATGGCGACATATGACTCCACGTGAAGTTGCTAGTCCTGAGACAGGTGTGTCTACGAGGACTTTAGACAAACAAGACAAACGAGGCCAGTATCAAGATATAAACACGAAATTAGAAGTTTCCTTGGTTTATGTACATATTAGCGAAGTTTTGTCAAAGGATTTGCCAATAGTCAAAAGCCATTAACAAAATTGACAGAAAAAGGCAAAGGATATACATGGAGGAAAGAGTGTCAAAAAGCTTTGTGTCTGTGTCTATAAATGAAAAAAATTCTATTAAAAGGTGACGAACCTCGGTCGAGAAACGATCGGCTATCGACAACATCTGCATGCCGAATTTTGCAGGGAGTAGCCAGAGATTCAAGTATTTTAACAGAGAATAGCAGATCAATACCAAGTAATAAGAAACAGACTAAACGCGATACCATCAGAAGCGAAGTCGAACGGGAGATTCATAACCAAGAGTTAGTTGTAGATCAAGTTTATTATGAAATCCTTAATGAGCAGATTTCTGAGCCTCTCATACAAGAAACTCAACCTTTTAATACGCAGTAGGACAACAACGAGTTGGACGATAGCCTGGTAAAAGAAATTGCACGTGCAGTACAAGAGTTTAATGGGACAAACCCACTTAGCAGACCACCGCTACCAAAAATAGACTCTTGTAAGAAACTAGGTGCGCTGTTACAATTTATGAACACTGAACTCCTACTCAATTATATCGTGCAAACTCATAAATTAGTATATTTGCATATGCTGATTTACTGTGCAGCAACAGCAATTGCTAATGTTATCGGTATTAAAATCAGAACACGACGGGGTAATATTATCGAAAGGACAGATAACAGAGTTGCAAATTGGGAAAAACGGCTGCTAAGGAAAATTGAATCATTACGTAAGGACATTGATCAAATCATGGAATATGTTCGAGGAGCAACAAGTAGAAAAGTAATGAGAAGAGCTGAAGAAATAATGGTAACCACCTCAAGACACAATATAATCCAGAAAACAACACAGCACAACAGTGCCTGTATACATTAAAACAAAAATTTTCGGTTTACTCAGGCCGACTAAGGAGATACAAAATTAGTAACAAATGAAAATCTAACAATACGGTTTTTGAAAATGCCGACAAGGTGTTCTATCGGAAACTTAATTTTACCGCAAAAAGTGCCAATAAATCGTACCCAAGCCAAGAAGAAATCCATGAGTTTTGGGGAAATCAAGTTTCCACACCAGCTGCTTTTAACACCAATGCTGGATCGATAGAAGATATATATATATATATATATATATATATATATATATATATATATATATATATATATATATATACATATATAGACAAGGTAGTCCAAAATTTTTTGACTAGTTTGGAAAAAATATGTAAATACTTTTCTCTTTTTGGGTGTGGTAGTCAATAAAAAATAGAGCTTTGCTAAGGCGTACTATTTATTCTGAAATCCGAGCTTTCGGTGGTTAGTTGCCACCTTTATCAAGGTCTACAATGAAAATTACTGTGTTATAAAATTAGGCTGATGTAATATAAAAGTTATAAAAACTTACCAGAAAGTAAGATTCATAGCATATAAAACACAACGTTAAATAACATAATGTGATCTGAATTTTAAAAACTTTAAAATAACTTAAAAATTAAAGAACATGTTACAAAGTTTAAAAAGTAAAAAATAAGACGACATGTTTGACAAAAAACAGTCGTCTTCGCAGGTTTGAATTCAGTCACATCTCACGAACAGAAAGAGGTAGTAGGAGGAACTATTGTTGTTTAAATAGTTCGATGTAACTACAAAAAACAAACTTTCAAACTGATGTCTAACAAAATGCCGTTTGTGATTTTAAGTACTACCAACCATGTTACCAACTTAGAATTGAGAGGGAAATTTAAAAAAAGTTTATTATGTCAAACAATAAAAAGAAAATAGTATTTAGTAAGTAGGTTTAGAAAAAACAAACAACCAAAACAAAATGAACATCTGAATAATAACTGAAGTTAATCATGATAATTATAGCAATTAATAATGGAATTTAAGAAACATGAAACACTCTGAGATGCAGAAAACCCTAGTCAAAAGTCAAAATAAAATTGTAAATTTTGCTAAGATTCTGGATCTCAGATCTTATCTTATAGATACAATCTGAATAAAAGTTTTTTTGTCAAACATGTCGTCTTATTTTTTACTTTTTAAACTTTGTAACATGTTCTTTAATTTTTAAGTTATTTTAAAGTTTTTAAAATTTTTAATGCCTTCAGTAATTCAGATCACATTATGTTATTTAACGTTGTGTTTTATATGCTATGAATCTTACTTTCTGGTAAGTTTTTATAACTTTTATATTACATCAGCCTAATTTTATAACACAGTAATTTTTATTGTAGACCTTGATAAAGGTGGCAAATAACCACCGAAAGCTCGGATTTCAGAATAAATAGTACGCCTTAGCAAAGCTCTATTTTTTATTGACTACCACACCCAAAAAGAGAAAAGTATTTACATATATATATATATATATATATATATATATATATATATATATATATAAACTGTTACGTAAAAATTAGTCATATTAAAATAAACCTGTTCTAATATAAAGAATTAAAAGAATTAAAAAAATAAAGAATAAAAATTCTAGATTTGACCTGATGGTAGAAATTCCAGGTAATACCTAATGGGTCTCCGACGAGTCGAACTTTCCGGAAGAGGCTGCTATAAAAACCCAGTCTGACCGCACGGCGATCGAGTTTGTCCCGGAAGGTCACTACCCGCTTCGAGAATAACGACTGTTTAGTATAAATATATATAAATTTGATGTAAATGGTTAGTGAAGAAAAGAAACTCGCGGAACGTGGTTTAAAATGTACGAACGTGATAAATGATTGTAAAGTAATTTAATAAATTGATAATAAATTATCGTGAGTTTTAATAAATTAGAATAAAGACAAATTATAATAAAAATATAACGTTTGGTGTCAGAAGTGAAATTGTGAATATGGCTACAATTTATGAGCTCACAGTTACGGATCTAAGAAGACATCTTGAAGACAGAGAATTAGCTTCTAGCGGAAAAAAGGCTGATTTAATCCAACGACTAAAGAACGCTTTAATAAGAAGAGGGTTTAGATCCGGAAACTTATATATTTGAAGACAAGCATGTAGCTGTTGTCATCTCGTCGATTACGAAATTAGAAAACAAAGTTTCCGGCGACATCGCTTCTTTAGAAAGCAAAGTTTCTAAAGAGATTTCTTCTCTGGAAAGCAAGTTTCTGCTAACATCTCTAAAGTCACTTCTGAGATGTCTGCCATCGACGATAGAATGTCTTCATTAAAAAACCAAGTTGCTGCCGATATGTTGGCCTTCGAAGAAAAGATGAAAGAGATGGAAAGGAAGATGGAGGGAACAAGAATGACAGAGAGAGGAAACAATCCAATTACAGTAGAGACGAGGTGAAATGTAAGTTGGAAACACGGCCGGAATTTGAAGGAAGTGGAGTTTCTGTTCATGTTAAAGTCCCAACTTTCGACGGAAGATCGTCATGGAACAACTACATGAAACAGTTCGAATCAGCTGCAATAGCGAATGGATAGTCTGAAAAAGAAAAGGCTGTAAACCTGACTATCGCTCTTCGAGGAGATGCTTTAGATGTGCTTCAGACCATAGCCGTAGAGGAGACAGATGATTTTGAACAACTTAAGAAGAGGTTAAATATGCGATATGGCCACGAACAGGTCCCGAAGACATGATGGAAAAGTTGGCTGTTCAAACGTTTATTGATGGTCTTCGTGATCATGAAATGCAGAGAACACTACGATTAGCTCGTCATAAGACGCTGGTTAATGTCTTATCCGCCGCCCTCGAATACGAGTCAGCTACGCAGGCCTCTGGTGGGTACAGTAAAGTTAGGACCGTAAAAGAGGAAGAAGATGAAGATAAACTTGACCAGCTCGTTAATATGGTGAAAATCATGACACACAAGAAAACGAAGACCATAAGACCGAAGACAAAACCAGAACGGGTCGGCCTTAGGGGAGTAGCTTCGACCTAGAACTTTTCCAAAGACCCTCTCATTCTAATAGCTTCTTTAAAATGTCGTGAAGATAGTGTATATGTAGATGGAGAAATAAATGATAAAAAGCATACGTTGTTGGTCGATACCGGAGCGACAAGAACTATTATTCGTCCGACAGTTATAAACAGCCGTAAGAAGCTGTTACCAAGGAGGTTGCGACTGCGGACCGCTACAGGTGAAAATGCCAAAATTCTTAGAGAATTTCAGGTACAATTATAAATTGGAGCAGAAAAGTTCGTCCATACTGTTATAGTTGCTGACATCGAAGAGGATGTTATATTAGGAATGGACGTAATGAATACGCATGGATTCCAATTGGATTTTAAGAATAAGGTAATCAAAGTTGGTAACGAGGAGGTATTTCTCCATCCACATGATGACAACACTATGCAAGCAGCGGTTAAAGAAGATACAGTCGTACCTGCGAGAAGTGAAACGATAATAGTAGCGCGCCTACAGGGAATTGTGGACGAAGGGACACCCGTTATGATGGA